TTGATTTCAGATATTAAAATGTTAAAAATTGTATGGTTTCAAATTTATAAAATACAGAAATATCACTCTCACAGCTTTACCATAAATTTCTAATCATACATTTATACAAAGTTTTAAAATTATTTCTATGGTAGTGGCAAAAGAAATACTGTGTTGCACACTTACTATAGGACAATGGTATTGCATTTTTTTTCAAAAATATTCTGAGAGCTTTAGAAGATGCCTACTGGAATGCAACTCCCCAAAGTCAGTTTCTTTGTTTTGTATGTACCCCAAGCACCTAGAAGAAGGCACTCAATAAATATTTCTCAAATGAATTTGAGTAAATTCATGTTTCATTAGAGATGCCATGTGTCTGTTTTTAAGAATTATTAATCAGTGAGTTCCTTCTAAATGCCAGTTTATATTTTCAGAGATCTTGTACAGCTAGCTTCCTTCTCAAGCCTTACTTTGCACTTGTTGCCAACTTCTTTCCGTTATATTTTTGTGAGTATTATAATGATATTTACAACTCAGTCATGTTTGCAACAACTTTTTGTGACTTACCATGAAAAATACTGAATGACATAATGGGTTATTTATGGCTATCCATAGTTCCACTACTTTAGAAGTTAAAAGGAAAAAACAAATCTTAATAAATGTCTTGTACTAATACACTTGGTACTCAGGAAAAGGAGAGATTAGTGGGCCAATATAAACATAAATTGTAGAAAAAGGACTAAATTTGCTGGGTCTGAATTTTATCCTCATTCCATAAGACATTTACGTAGCTTTGGAGATGGCTGAGTATAAAGTTATCCATATGTGATGCTATTTAGAAAAATGGTCCTAAGTTATCAATCCCATAAATTTGGAACCTTCCCATCTCAATAATTATATTTAATTTAAGCCTAACATGAGTTCATTCAGATTCTTAAGGGACATATCAGAGGGGCTAAGAATGTGGCCTCTGGAGCCCAAATCTCTGGGCTTGAAACTTATCTCTAGCTCTTATTAGTTATACGGTCATAGAATTTTAGTTTGCATTTTTATGCCCTATTTTCAACCTTCTAATGTCATTGATACATCTCTTGTAGGGCTTTTATAAGGACTAAATAACACATATAAAGTTTTTAACAGGTTCTTTCAAATAGTAGATGCTAATGTTGGTTCTTCCCTATTTCCCCTCTGGATCCACTCTGCCCTTCACTGCCCTGCTTTGTGTCCTGGCAGCCTGGCTGACCTTCACAGTCTTCCTTACTTGGGCTCCCTTGCTCTCTGACTTTTGGTTAGGTTTTCACCTGGAGACAATGAAGGGATGGAAAGACAGAAGAAGGGAAATTGACGTAACCCCTCTCCCCACTTCCTCACTGCTTGATTGTGGTTTGAGAGTGACTTTCTCCATCCTCTTTCTGTATGGAAAGTCACGGCTACTACTGAATGGCCTCCCATGGTTCTAGCTATTGCCAAATCTTAGTACTATCACCTCCCCATACCCCATCAGATTTCAGGGTAGTCAAGACTTGCTGTGCAGCTAGGCCCTGATGCATCAACACCCCTTGTTGAATCCTTTAACCCTATTTATATCCTTGTTAATGATACCTTTGTTGTACTGGTCAAATACCTTTATTTTTTTTATTACTTCATTCTTTATTATCAAATGATCAAGATTAGCAGTTCAAAAGTGAAGATATTTACTTATTAACAATAAAATTATTATAACTCCTCCTTTCTTTTTTTATAACTTTTAATAGTCATTTTATTTTTTAAAATTTCTTTTCAGCATAACAATATTCATTGTTTTTGCACCATACCCAGTGCTCCATGCAATACGTGCCCTCCCTAACACCCACCACCTTGTTCCCCCAACCTCCCACCCCCTGCCCCTTCAAGACCCTCAGGTTGTTTTTCAGAATCCATAGTCTCTCATGGTTCACCTCCCCTTCCAATTTCCCTCAACTCCCTTCTCCTCTCCATCTCCCCATGTCCTCAATGTTATTTGTTATGCTCCACAAATAAGTGAAACCATATGATAATTGACTCTCTCTGCTTGACTTATTTCACTCAGCATAATCTCTTCCAGTCCCGCCCATGTTGCTACAAAAGTTAGGTATTCATCCTTTCTGATAGAGGCATAACTCTCTTTAGTTAAGCATTTGTGTATACCATTTATTTCTAACAGTATAATAAATGGTATGGAGTTGAATTGTTTGGTTTAAAATAAGTATCAGTATTTCTTTCAAGTCAATGAAATATCATTAACGGTGATAGGAATGGCGGTTTCAAAACGTAGGTAGAGAAAATCAATTTTATTAACCTGTGTGTCATTATAGCATAAATGTCCTCAGCACTAAAGGAGGCATGTGTAGAACTGAGACTAGATTGTAGTTAGGATGGAATAAAGATTGAGAGACCTCCCCTCAGGGGCTTTACACATGAAACCTCCTTTTCCTTCTCCCTTCTTGATAGTGTTGGAGGCAACTTCATGGAATACAAGAAAGTGGTGTTTACGTGGCCAAATCAATTCAGTATAAACCAAGTCTAAGTTCTGGGGTTTAGTAGGCATCAAGATTTTGGAGTTGCTGGGTGGATTGAGGGGAGAGTCATTAGCATTCTTAGCAGAAGCCTGCAAAGCCACATAAGTAAGAGCTAGACCTGGAAGAGTGATTGTGGAAAATAAATAAGGTCATGGCTGGTTCCATTCAAACAGAATTATGAGAGGAAACAGTAAGCCTATAAAATAATTGAGTATAATGGCTACATATTGTGGGAGTGTAATAAGAGTAAGGACCTTTTACACAATGATAAATCCACATTGCCTCACAGAAGACCTGGGAAAACATTGTTTCCATGTCTCCACTAACTAACATGTCTGGGATCTGTGCAGGGCTGAGCTTACAGGACATGGAGGCCCTTATGAGTCATGAAGGTGAGACTGAGGCATGAACGCATTATCATTGTATGAAGCAATACATGCATGGCAATTTCATGCATGACAATAATTTTGTTCAGTCTGGACATAAATTTACAATAATTTGCCATATGAAGTTTTCCCAATAAAACTGTCATCTTATTCAGAGTTAAGAATTTTTAACCCTCAAGCCAAATAAAGTCCTATAGATACCTCAATTCTCATACTTATCACAGTAGGAGTAGAGAGGATATAATATAATGTTAAGAGGGAAGAAATTAAGAGGTCTGGAGTCAGTTTGACTTCCTGGATTTGAATCCTAACTCTCTCTATATACTAACTCAGTATATACTCAACATTTTTTTTTTCCAACCAACCTCTGCATGTCCCAGTTTCCTCTTCCTCATCCTTGGACTCAGAGAAGTACCTATTTCTTGGAAATACTGTAAGGACTAAATAAAACAACACAGGCTAATAACTTCATAAAATACTTGGCATATAGTAAATTCCTAACAGTTCTTGCCTGGTTTTCTTTTTGTATGTGCATCTCCCAACAAGATTCTTTGTGTACCCTGAGGTATGAATATACCTATAAGGTGAATACATATACCTACATAATAGATATGTAATGTATTAGGTACATGTATTATTCATTTTATAGCCATTACTAAGTCTATCAGACAGTAAAGTATTAAATAAATATTTGCTTAGTGACTAAATGAGGTTAGCTAGTCTTAGAAATCTGAATCTCAAAGACAAAGACAATGTAGATATATTGTCTTTCTTGAAGTTTTCTCCTGACATTCTATGTTAATCACTAGAAAAGAGACTATTAATAGTTCACTGCACTTTAAATGTCTTTTTTTTTTTTTTAAATAATAGCACATTGATGCCATTGCATATCCACAGCCTTGGGTGCATTCAGAATCACCATCACATTCAAGTTGTCAAGTATTCATATTTGCCAAAAAAATAAAAATCTTATCAAAATAATAGCTAAGAATAAATTATAGGCACCAAAAAGGAGGGATAGACTACTCATTTGAATATGCTCTTACAGAGAATAATACAGATCTCTTTTTAAACAATGAAATTATGTTGAGTCCACTTAATTTGTATTGAACAATGTATAAGGGGCAGACCTTGCTGTTATAAACTTTGCTAGATACTCAATAGGCAGCAATTTAAAAAAAGAGACCATGTTTCTTCCATCTACAAATTCTGCAGTTTATTCAGCCTATAGAAAAGACTTTTTCAAATTTAAAAACAAGGAGGCTTTTCTAAGGAAAAATAAAGTTAACAACCATGGACATTTTGAAACTGACTATAGAGTAGCATAAGCCTAAACTCACAGAAATAACAAGGGAGAATGCATATTTTCCTGCTTTATGGGTATTTAGACAGTATCCATTCAAGTATTTTACTGTTTAAAATATTTTTTACATGTAATTTTATATGCTTATTAAAAGGGAAAATAATAATATACAGAATGATGATAATAGTTGCCATTTGATTCTAAGTAAATGTAATTGTAATAAATATTTTACATGTATAATTCCATTTAATCACTAGATGGTAAGCTTCATAAAGACAAAATCATATCTATCCATTTCTTTATTCATCAGTGAAACCCAGTAATCAGCAATGAGCTTGAATAGAGTTGACTCTCAAGGAATATTTACTAAACAATTGTATGATCTTTCCCTTGAAGTAGGTTCTTGCTACGTTTTAGTCTGCCAATGTTTGAGTATTACTGAGTGTACTACATTTTGTCAACTCTACCCTTGCTTGGTGTGATTAATCTTATCTATGCAGATTTACAGTGACAAAATGCCTGAGGGAGATCTTTATCTTGTACAGCAAACTGGGCCTAAAATGTCTCAGAAAGAAAATTACGAAAACACTGTAATTAAAAGCAAAGCCTACAAAAATCTGATTCTGATCCATATAAATTGAAGGTCGGAAAATATGACCATTAAACATATCTTTGAAAGCACAGTCGGGATTTGTTCAAAGTTCTTTAACGATTATGGCATCACCTAAAACATAAAGAAATGAAGGATAAAGTAACTTCTAGAAGCCAGAACCACATGGCTCAGATCAGACTTACCAGAACGGTCACCACACGTAGAACCACTCCACGCATGTTATTCTCTAGTTTCTTGTCAGTTAGTGACCCATTCAGCCCTGTGACAGGATTCCAGCACCCAAGCTGAAAGGTAAAATAGCTTGGTCACTTTCCTGCCTGAAGAACAGTCCAATCACCTATGCAAAAGTCTTGCAGAAAACTGTGTGATATCTCTTGAAATAACTGGTATAGGAAAGGTCCTGCACAGGTTTTCTTTTTTCATAGCAAACTAAGCAATCAGAAATTCCATTTCCCACTCTTAAATATCATTATATGGCATACAACAGTATCCAATATGTTTCAGGAGACTCACTAAGGACATGGACTTAATAAGGAGTGATAATACACCAGTAACTCAGTCCCAGTAATGCACTAATTGGAAAAATAATAGTGCATATAATTCTAGTATAATATCTGTTCTTAATATATCAATTATTGTACAAGTTAGATTCTTATAGTTTCAATGGTTTTAATTAGATATTACACTGCTTTTATTGGAAAAAATAAGATTTTTAATACAGTTAGAAGGTTTACTGTTTTTATTTGAGGGGCAAAATCATGTATATGGCTTTGCTGTTTTCAAGTATTCACAGCACATACAACAATATAATTTGCCTTTTTGGTCAGTGCTATCGATTTCCTTGGAATATTTTGGAAGCTGCCTTTTCCTTAAAGTCTTGCAGTGATTCACTGCTCTTTACACTCCAAATACTGGTTTAATTTTACATCGTCATGTAGTTCTCAGCTCTTGTAATATCCAAATCTGAGAGCTAACAGTTTTAAAATCACTGCCTATAAGTCTCAACACATAAAAACTGGTAACTCTCAATTCAAAAATAAGGAGGGAAAAGAAAGAGAGATTGTGACTTGAATTAGCAGATAACTCAAAAAGCAAAGCTGCAAAGAGAATCCCATAATGCGCATCTTGGGAAGAAATGTCATGCTATTAATTCTGATACTAGATCAGGAGCTTTCACTTTGAGGAACCTATTCCATTTGCATGCTTTAAAAATATAACAATCCTTTAGTCATATTTGGAGACTGCTCTGATTGACTGAATGGTTTATAGGGGCACCTGGCTATTTGTGCTGCTTCCTCCTGAAGACTGATTTATTTCCTCGCATTGCATTTTGTTTGTGGCTTCCAAAGTTGGCAGCACGATGGCAAGTCTCCTTCATAAATAAAAGATTTAGGTGCTTCCTATTAAAACTCAAGTTTCTCTTTGAGTACCCAAGAGGTGTTTAATTAAGAAACCTAAAATGTACACAATATATCTTAAGAGAAGGGATGTCACAATATAAACAAAAAGCCAGCTTTTTCTGTATTAAAATAATTTGGAAAGGGCTGATAATTGTAGGTTTCAACTAGAAAAACACATTAAATTCATGCAATGATATGTCATTCTTAGTTACCTAAAAAGTCTAATTAGAACTTAGATCTAATTAGCACATCCAAATGTGCTGAAAGTCTAATTATCAGAGATATTGTAGTTCTCTTGCCCAATTTAGAACCTTACGAAATTTCTTTCGATCTTTTGTTCTCTTCTCAGGTCAACCAAAGTCTATGCTCACTTACATTCCTTGATGTGTGCTCTTTCTAGTAATTTTTTCAAGAAGATTTTATTTTCTTAGACTAAATACTGGTGAGAAAAGCGGTTTACAACATTAAGTGAAGGACTGCTATGCTATCCACCTTTTATAGTTCTATTCCTTAATTCCAAACTTACTGAATAGCTTGTAGGACATCATGTTGTTCAAGGTAAATATGGCTAAGTTACCAAAGTAAATACAAGGTTTTCTTTTTTTTGTCTTCCTTGGTGAACCTACCGCTAGTTTGACTAAATAAATGACATCTTATTTATGCCAACTTGGCCATAGGATTTGGGTGTATTGACCAGTCAAAATATATACTAGTGGAATAACAATAAGGCTTGCTGAGCAGTCTGTCTGAACAATGCTCTGGACAAACATTTAAAAATATGTAATTTCTGACTTCTTAATTACATCTTCCTTTAATCATAACTAAATATAGTCAGTGGTTTAAAAATTTTAAGGCACCCAAACATTTGAGATTTTGAAATAACAATAAAAACATTTGTCTTCAGACCTGGGCAATAACTTACACATTTGTGTACATATATAATGTGTATATATATAATGTCTCTTCTCACTTAAAAAAAATATTTGACCAAGTTCTTTCTCATATATATTACAAGACATCGTTTTCTCCTCTGCCAGATGATTTTTTTCCATTTCTATTTTCTCTCTCTCTTCTCCCCCTTTGCTTGCGATTTGACTCACGTGTCTTTTAATTGTTTCTCTTCATCATAACAGCAGTTGGGATTTTAGGATTGGTAACACCTTTTACTTAATTCAGTTCTTCATATGTTCAAACTCTAACACTTAAAGGTAGTTGAATATTAGCTACAGATGCCAAGAGCTAGGAATTTCAGAGACTGAATTTTGAGTTAAAGTTTAGAATACAGATTATCTGGAAAACTAGAAATAAAATATATCTACTTGTCACATATCAAAATGGGACAAAACAAAGAAATCATTCAGAAATTAAAATAATGTTTATTTCCTATATTGAATAGAACTATTTTTTTTTTTTTTGCATTTTTTGGAATAATTTCTAAGTGTTAGCTATGATACTGAGCTCTTTATACCTGATCTCATTTAGACCTCAAAATAACTTTATGAGAAGCTGTTATTATAATTTTTATATTATAAACATAGAAACTAAGGGCTTATCTAAAGTCATATAACTACTAAGAGATGAACCTAGGATTTAAACTAGTGCTTTTAAAAAGTCCAGATTTGGGATGCCTGGATGGTTCAGCCTTCAGCTCAGGTCATGACCTCCAGGTCCTGGGATCTAGCCCCTCACTGGGTTCCTTGCTTAGCAGGGAGTCTGCTTCTCCCTCTCTCTCTGCCCCTTCCCTGCTTAAGTGCTCTCTCTCTCTCAGGTAAATAAATAAAATCTTTAAAAAAATAAAAAATAAAAGTTTAGATTCAGTGGTTTCAATTGCAGTGCTGTTTTATAGCTTATGAATTTTTTTTATAAATATGATCTATTTAAGGTAGATGGAGAAAATATTATTCTTATATTTTAGTCAAAAAATTAAGGCTTAGAATTGTTAACTGGCTTCCTCAATATAACAGCTGGTGAATTCACATTCTGGCAATATAACTGAAAAGGCATATCATCATCATCATCATTTTTATCAAAGAAATTATAACATGTACTTAATACATAGTATATGTTAATCTTCTGAGGTCTTTACTTATATTAATTAATTTACTTCTCAAAACAATGCAATGAGAAAGGCAACATTATTATCTCCATTCAACAGAAGGGAAAACTGAAGATTGAGAGGTTGTGCTCCTTCCACTGTGTTATCTTTTATCCACTTAATCAGTCATAAGATATTGAGTAGAATAAGGAAAGCAGCAGAAAAATGAAATGGACAAGAGATTCTCAAAAACATTTCTGGAAATCTCTATGTTGCACCACCAAATTACTAAAGATAAGTGTGGAACACATTTCATTTACCAAAAGTTCTGTTGATGCTTCTCAAAGTGTACACCAGAGATAAATGAGGAAATAATAATAATAAATAGAGAAAATGCTGATTATTTTTCAAGTTTTAAGATTCCTTAATTTCTCTTCATAGCCACTTATCTCCTTGAGGTGCCCTTCAAGTTTTTCTGTTTTATTGTAATAGCTCCTTCCAATAATAAGCAGTACAAATGAGTTAGGTTCACACAAATTCAAAGTGAATTTGTATCTACAATGGGTCATATTCCTTGCAGTGTAGCAAGATTGACACAGTGATTTAAAAAAAAAAAAAAAGTCTGGAAGAATTTCATTTAAGTTCAAGTGTGAAGCTTATCTAACAACTTCTCTGGTTTCATTGTTAGAAATTCTATTAACTTGATTTCTCTGGGTATGTGGAGAAGGTTGTTTTTGTACGACTATGTTTTTATTTTTGTCCCCCCTCCCTTTTTTTTAAACAATGAGGCCAGGGACTAATAAAGATAATGCACACACACTCTTACTTATAACACTATGTATTCAGCAGAGCACTTTCTAAGTAAAAAAAAATAAAAGTAGCCCCTGCAGCACATGAGATTTACAGAAAGTCATACTGCTGATGGCAAAACAAGATTCAGTGTCTCCCATGGTCTGACAGTCTAGAGAAAATTTAGAAGGGATTAAAAAAATAAAGACCAATTCAATTTCCTTTCAATTACAGTATATCGATTTCCTGTAACATTATCTGGTTATTGCTGAAAGTCACTTTAAAACCTTAAAAATGCTTAATGCTTTAATTATCCCCTTCATTGGAGCTTTAGCGACCATAATCTTGTCTCTCTCTGTTAAAATCAATGTAGCATCTTGTGTTCAACAAAATGGTTGATGTATTTGCAAGAGGACAGTAATAGGTTCCTGACACGATGCATCACGCTGTGAGCAAATGACCAAGTTTTAGATATTTACTCTTTTCTTCTCAATATTTCCTTTTTTCATTTGTTCATGGGCTTTAAAGGATGACGTTTGACTAGGTTTTGCATCCCTATTTTTCCGGCAGTGTTACAATGTCAAAAAAGAGCTGGACTGTTCGACTTTAATTTTACGCTTAATAGTTACAGGCCTTAATTACAGGAGTCAAGAGAGCTCTTAATTGAATACCAAATGGAATTCCCTACATTTATTAGCTTGTATTCATATGGAACAAACGAAGCCTGGCTCCAGTACGGAAGCTCCAGCTGCAGGACACAACATACCAGGCTGTGTGCTGCCCGCCCCTGCATTGCCTTTACTTGCTTTCCCAGCCTTTAAAGGAAAAAAGGGAACAATAAGCATAGGCAAAGTAGCTGGAAGCTACCCATTTAGAAATGCACAGCATTTATTTTGTAGGTATTACTTCTATAATGGAATAGAAAAGTGTAAAAAGAAATACATATGGCAGGTTGGCTCAGATACATGTTTTATAGAGTTAAATTAGGATGTTTCTTTTCTTTGATATGTACAGGAATGTACTGTGTCAGTTATATCTCCAATAATAATTTTGTTGGTGA